CCTCTCACAACAGAACCTTTTTAGTTATTTGAAAAAAAGATAAGTGTGCAGTAAACAGGACACCATATAGGTCATAGACTCTGTAATGAAAAACATATGGCAAAAGCAAAACTGACAATCTAATAGAAATAGTTAAGTATTCCAGAAGGTGTAACATCTGAAATAAAGTCCATAAACTAAAAAGTAAGTAAATAGAAGTCAGAACATTTCTTCATGTACTCTGATGGGTAATATTTTGATACTGTATTTATTAGATGTGGATTTAGCAGATGATTTATAAATAGTTAAGAAACCTTTCACTGAAATAAATATCACATAAACATATTTTTTTCATATATAATTGATAAATCCCATGAACATATTAATAAGCATTTCATACTCCCAGTGTTCCATCTAGTTTATTCTGCTCATGTATATAAGCCACAATACTCTATGAACAAAAAAAATCTTCATTTAAACTGCAAAGGTTTATATGTGAGCTGGAATATTATTATTATTATTATAATTATTATTATTAACAATGACATCAACAATAATAATAATTATTATTATTGTTACTTTGTTGTTGTTGCTATTATTATTATTATTATTTTACTATTTCAATGTTATTGACTGATAGAAAGATATTTTTGAGTTGTCTCAAAAGTTGCAACCGAAAGTTCCAAAACTGTAAAACTTTTTTTTTTCTCTTTACACACTTTAATTATTATTGTTCCTATTTTGCTGCTCAAGAACGTTTGATGTTTTTGTTAACTATCATGTACCTGCAACTTTTTTTATCAGCTATCTGTTAAGTATAATAACCCAAAGAAAGATGTTTTTAACTGATTATATTTATTAAAAAGGAAACTGTACTTTGCAAACTTTATGGTTTTACTAAATATTTCAGAGTGAGAGGTAAGGGTTGCCTTATTATAACACAATGAAGCAAATAAAACAATGGGCCATGGAACTGATCTCAATAATTAGAAGGTTTTTAGGGGGCAAAATCCACATCATCTGCTGATGCTTTAATACTTTTCACACACAGAGATCTGCTAAATCGTAAGCAAGGGCGGACTGACCATTTGGAAACTCAGGCACTGCCCGAGGGCCTGGGGTCAGTAGGGGGACCCATGAGATGCATCTGGTACCTTTTTCATAGGCTTTTTTGAGTTTGGGTAAGGACACAGGGGTCCCACGATCCCCTATTGCCCGGGGGCCCCATGAGTTGTCAGTCCGCCCCTGATCATAAGGCTATCTATGTAACATCGCCTGCCTTCTTTTAATGCTCAAATCAACCAAATGAAAAAAATCACATTCAGTGAAGCAGCAGCTGCATCATATGAACATGAATCTTTGAATGTAAAACTTAAAATAACAGCAAAAAGACACAAAGCAAATTCAAACTCAGACTTTTAGCTCAAACACCTACTTCAGTTTGTTTAAAAGAAACTAAGGTAAGCTTTAAAAAAAAAAAAAAAAACATTTCCCTGTCTGCTAGTTTTTTTGTTTTTTTATAATAGTACAGTGACAGCCATGAAGACTTCCAATGAAGAAGAAAACTGGGAGAAGATGAAATAGGTGGTGAAGGAGCAGCGAGCAAGAGCGCGGATATCACAGCACTAGAAGAGGTTCCTTTGGCAGGTAAACCTGCCATAATGCATAAATATGGTATTTCATTACTCTACATGGATTTATATTATGTAATTTTCTTTTCTTAAAGTTTTCTTTTATTATGGACTTGGCAAAGGTGTGCAATGTCCTTATTTACATTACAAGTTTTAATGTGAATAGATGACCAACATTAATATGCACCTCTTACCAGGGGCGGACTGACCATTTGGAAACTCGGGCACTGCCCGAGGGCACGGGGTCAGTAGGGGCCCCATGAGATGCCCCTGGTACCTTTTTCATAGGCTTTTTTGAGTTTGGGCAAGGACACAGGGGCCCCATGATCCCCTATTGCCTGGGGGCCCCATGAGTTGTCAGTCCGCCCTGCCTCTTACGCTTTCACATGGGAGGGCAGAATCTTGGGTTTAATTTTAAAGGGGTTTTTTAACCCCTTGGTGCCGGTGCCTCCCAGCCTTTTAAGGGTTCCAGAAACCAGGAGGCAGGGTGGGGTTTAAGGTCATGTGACTGCCATGATTCGCTGTCACGTCGGTCACATGATCGTGAAAGGTCCCGATCGAAAGAGGAGACCGGGACCTTTCCGTGAGTACCGAACATATTGCTGGGAGCACGCAGGGCGTGCGCTCTCAGCACATATGATTTTTTTTAATAGAACGCAAATGTGGGGCTGCTCGGCGTCTAGGCCCAGATACCGGGAGGCCTCACATTTGCGTTCGGCCTGCGCCAAGAGGTTAAGATTAAAATAAACCCATACCTGCAGATCCCTACAATCACCAGGACAGGGTGGTGGGGAAGATTACAATGTAAATAAAACACACAGGCACCTTTGATATGAGCTTTACAAAAGAAAAAAAAAAGCATGTCCCATGATGTAAATCCATAGTAAATTTTATTGTCCGGTGATTCAGATTCTTGTTAATCATCATGTACGATGATTCAGATGACCCGTCAAAACAAAAAAAAATATGATCGTGCACAATTATCTGATCCTGATGGACTCCATATTACAAATGACAACTGCCAGCCTCTTTGTTTTCATGCAGCAGGGAGCTGTCAGTTGCAATATGGAGTTCACCTGGAGCTGATCATCATCTGCAGTCTTGTGTTTTTCTTTTGACCAGTCTTCAGATTCTACACAGATACTGGGTGGATTTGGCTATAACAATTGGAGCACCACAGGCAAACAATCATAAGAAATTCCAAGAAAAACCATATTGATTTTTAAGGTGCCCCAAAGAGTAACATGCTGAAAAACACATATTTAAAAATTAGCTGGGAGAATCACTCCTCATATATGAAATGGACATCATACCCCACTAAGAGTTATTACTCCTTGTATTGATGTAATGTATGTGCAGGTAGGTAGGTGGTCTTTTTCCTGTTCCTTGGGGGCCCCCACAAGATACCAGTGGTCACACCTGGACACAGATATGAGATCTCGGAAAGTGAGTGCACTCAAGTCACCTCAGAAGGGATTGCAAACACATCCGCTTTATTGGGATAACATCAGGGTTTTTATACTGTAGTCTTTGAGCAGACACACCTTCAAACCATCCAATCATATACATTATTTTTACCTTAACTCAACAATTATTTCTATGAACTCTGCATTTACACTCAAGTTTCTGCCTTATCTGTCACACCATATCTGGCCTAACGCCCAGACCATGACTATAATCTGACCCAATGCCCAAGCTGTGGTTCCAACTTTTCAGAAATGACAGTAACGGTTATCTCTTTTTTTGAACGGTTTGCAAAAACACTCATTTCTACATGAAGCTGGCATGGACAGTTCTGTTAGTGTGTACACATTTCATATATATGTGTATGTTAAACAAGCATCTTGTATTAGTGTATATAAAATGGATTCGGTTATATTCCATTTAATCCTTTCAGTATGTCTATAATGAATTGCACCACACTGTGCGTTCTGCTGCATTATAACAAGATAATTCTCTTCTGGAAGTATTTTAGTTGGACTTTGTCTAGTTTTTTATCTATGATATTATTAAAGTGTAATATGGGAAGTGATTATCCCTGCTAATTTTTAAAATATGTCTTACTGCGTGTTACTCTTTGGGGCACCTTTAAAGTCCATATAATTTTTCTTAGGAATCTCTCCAGTCTTCAGGATTGTCCTTCATGATGATCATGGCCATATTTGGTCAATGATGCCTTCTGAGATACAGAACCAACAAACAGGTCAACCAGTTTGCGTACACCAACCATGCAAAGTTTTGGTAGAGCACTATGTTGGGCTGCACCTCATTCTTGGGCACAATCATACCATGAACTGGGTCTCTCAAGAACAGGGAAAAATTAATATTTCTAATTTCTAATATCTAAATAATTTTAAAATAATGGAAGGAGATAGTATGCAATATAAACTTCCTTATGAGACAGGAACAACAGCAACTCAGTCACCAAGTGGTAGGCCATGTCACATGACAGAGCGGGGTCAGTGCATGCTGAAGCGCACAGTGCGCAGAAGTCACCAACTGTCTGCAGAATCAATAGCTAAAGACCTCCAAACTCTGTGTGGCCTTCAGATTATCATAATAACAGTGTATAGAGAGCTTCATGGAATGTGTTTCCATGACAAGTGATAAATCATGTATGCATAATAGTCAGAGTAATTCATATAACTGAAAAAAGTGGGTAAAAAAAAAATATATATATATATATACACTGCTCAAGAAAATTCAAGGAACACTTTTTAATCAGAGTACAGCATCAAGTCAATGAAACTCCTGGGATATTGATCTGGTCACTGTAAATAAACCTTACTTTAAACATATCTAGTCTGGTCTGGTCTCAGTTTCCTAACTATAGCCACCCAGATCTGGCCATCTCTGCTGCTGATTCCTGACAGCATGTCTACTAGTTGTTTTTCTTCCTTTATTAAACTTGCCAATAGCATCTCTATAGTCCATTTTTTCCAAGTCAGGTGGACTGTCACCAGTTTTCCCTAGAGGCAGAAATTAAACAGCTCAGGGTCTACTACACACCAAGGATGGAAATGTAGGGAAGAAGTACACTATTGTCTTGCATTGTATCAAATCACATGACCATCCAGGATCTATGTTATTGTTAGTTTATTGGAGGATGTGGACTGTGGCATTATTACCCCTGCTGCTGAATATTTGTGGTGATGTTTTTCATTTGTTTGTTTCTTTATTTAAGTGATTGTCCTTTTCTCATCTTGCCTTTACTTTCCTTCCGCTATCTCCTCTTTGTTTCTTACTTGCTTTCATATCATCTTTCTTTCTTCTTTCCAATCTCTCTCTCCTTCCCTTTCCACTTTCTCATGTCTTTTAAAATTCAGCTCAAATCTTTTTCATTGGTTGGACAAACTCACGTTAAACAATTTAATACTCTATGCTTAGGACATGGATGAGGAAAATAAGACCATGATTACTGTGATCCACCTCTTAGGGTTTCAGACTCCAAAGAATGTAACATTTTTAATATTTTTGTTATTTCTTTCACTTTACTGTTTAACAATTTGTGGAAACCTCCTAATCATCACATTGGTGTCCTACAGCCAATCCCTCCATTCTCCCATGTACTTCTTCCTCTCCCAGCTCGCTGTATCGGATATTCTTTTAGCTACTGATATTCTTCCTATCATGCTCCATGCTTTTTTGTTGGAAAATACTACCCTCATTTCCATTTCTAATTGTATCACCCAGTTTTATTTCTTTGCTGTCTCAGAAACCTCAGAGTGTCTTCTCCTGACATTGATGTCTTACGACAGATATTTGGCCATCTGTAAACCATTGCATTATACTATGCTGATGAACCACCAATTTTGCTGGACAGCAGTTATCACAAGTTGGAGTTTGAGTTTCCTAGCAGTATTGACTTATACTTTAGACATATCAAAATTACAATTTTGTGCTCTTAATATTATTGATCATTTTTTCTGCGATCTTGACCCAATCTTACAACTCTCCTGCTCTAATACCACCTTTGTACAACTATTGGTAACAATATCATCTGCACTTTTTGGTTTTGTCCCCTTTTTTGTCATCATCATATCATATGTTTATATTATAGTTACTATTTTTGAAATTCCATCTATTAAAGGTAGACAGAAAGTTTTCTCAACATGCAGCTCCCATCTGACTGTTGTTTCTATTTTTTATGGTACCTTACTTTTTGTGTATTTGATACCGAAGAGAGGACAGTCATGGAACATCACTAAATTTGTGTCATTGCTGTACACTGTGGTCACTCCTATGCTGAATCCAATCATATACACTCTGAGGAATAAAGACCTTAAACAAGTTATTGAAAAAATTATCAACAATATTTTGAGGTTACATTTCCGTAATCATCAAAATATGCAAATGCCCTAACCAGGCACGTGAATGTAACTATGATCTTATATTTAGGGAACTTTAAATTCACAATTTAACAAATATTCTATATTATTTTATACATTGGCAAATGTGTGTAAGTTTTCTAATCAAATGTAAAATTCCTTGTAAATGTAACATAAATGTCAATGTGTTTTTTTTTCATAGGGCAGTGTATGTTTCTATAACAATATTTATTATGTTTCTTGACATTTGCTTGACCTTTTTTGTTTCTTTTTATTTTTAAGTTGATGAAGGACAGAATGGTTTAATTTTTAAAATATACAATACTTAATGGGGGTGAAACTCTGCTGGTTTACTCAGGTTGCACAATTGTTCTTAAAAAAAAAAATAGTTTTGAAATATTCAGTATTTCTTCTAATTATGTTCTTAAGGATTGTATTTTTAGAAAAACAAAGAACATACATCAACAACTATTTTTTTTTGTTTTAACAAGAATGTAGAAGGGTTAGAAGCCCAGTTGAGTTTTTATTCCTGTATATACAGTGGGGCAAAAAAAGTATTTAGTCAACCACCAATTGTGCAAGTTCTCCCACTTAAAAAGATGAGAGAGGCCTGTAATTGGCATCATAGGTAGACCTCAACTATGAGAGACAAAATGAGAAAACAAATCCAGACAATCACATTGGCTGATTTGGAAAGAATTTATTTGCAAATTATGGTGGAAAATAAGTATTTGGTCACCTACAAACAAGCAAGATTTCTGGCTCTCACAGACCTGTACCTTCTTCTTTAAGAGGCTCCTCTGTCCTGCACTCATTACCTGTATCAATGGCACCTGTTTGAACTTGTTATCAGTATAAAAGACACCTGTCCACAACCTCAAACAGTCACACTCCAAACTCCACTATGGTGAAGAGCTGTCGAAGGACATCAGAAACAAAATTGTAGACCTGCACCAGGCTGGGAAGACTGAATCTGCAATAGGCAAGCAGCTTGGTGTGAACAAATCAACTGTGGGAGCAATAATTAGAAAATGGAAGACATACAAGACCATTGATAATCTCCCTCGATCTGGGGATCCACGCAAGATCTCACCCCGTGGGGTCAATATGATCACAAGAACGGTGAGCAACAATCCCAGGACCAAACGGGGGGACCTAGTGAATGACCTGCAGAGAGCTGGGACCAACGTAACAAAGGCTACCATCAGTAACACACTACACCGCCAGGGACTCAGATCCTGCAATGCCAGACGTGTCCCCCTGCTTAAGCCAGTACAGGTCCGGGCCCGTCTGAAGTTTGCTAGAGAGCATTTGGATGATCCAGAAGAGGATTGGGAGAATGTCATATGGTCAGATGAAACCAAAATAGAACTGTTTGGTAGAAAAACACAACTCGTCGTGTTTGGAGGAGAGAGAATGCTGAGTTGCATCCAAAGAACACCATACCTACTGTGAAGCATGGGGGTGGCAACATCATGCTTTGGGGCTGTTTCTCCTCAAAGGGACCAGGACGACTGATCCATGTACAGGACAGAATGAATAGGACCATGTATCGTGAGATTTTGAGTGCAAACCTCCTGCCATCAGCAAGGGCATTGAAGATGAAACGTGGCTGGGTCTTCCAACATGACAATGATCCCAAACATACCGCCCGGGCAACGAAGGAGTGGCTTCGTAAGAAGCATTTCAAGGTCCTGGAGTGGCCTAGCCAGTCTCCAGATCTCAACCGCATAGAAAACCTTTGGAGGGAGTTGAAAGTCCATGTTGCCCAGCGACAGCCCCAAAACATCACTGCTCTAGAGGAGATCTGCATGGAGGATGGGCCAACATACCACCAACAGTGTGTGCCAACCTTGTGAAGACTTACAGGAAACGTTTGACCTCTGTCATTGCCAACAAAGGATATATAACAAAGTATTGAGATGAACTTTTGATATTGACCAAATACTCATTTTCCACCATAATTTGCAAATAAATTCTTTCCAAATCAGCCAATGTGATTGTCTGGATTTTTTTTCTCATTTTGTCTCTCATAGTTGAGGTCTCCCTATGATGCCAATTACAGGCCTCTCTCATCTTTTTAAGTGGGATAACTTGCACAATTGGTGGCTGACTAACTACTTTTTTGCCCCACTGTATCTCTGCTGGAGAAATTGTCTTCCAGAAAAATGATGGAAAATCCAATATTTGTTGTTATAAGAACAGAAGGTGTGAGGAAATCTTTCAGTGGGGAAACTTGTTTTGATGACAACTGTCTAAGAGGAAATTTACCTTCACTTTGGAGGGATCTCTATTTTGATTCAGGGTGAAGGGAAATCTCCCTGATGGGATGTAGCCATGCAAAGAAAAAAAAAACTGACGGGGTCTTTATCATATCCCCCTTGATTAAAAACTAAAAGAAAATACACTTTAATTGACTGACACCTTATTGTCAGTCTATCAATTGAAACACTGACCTAAAGATTATAGATGTAACTGAATAATAATTAGTTTGCTAAAGCATTGTGTATTTATACCAGTTGCCATTTGTTTTAAATAAAGAAAACATTCCATATTTTATAGCACCTTACTTTTTGTGTATTTGATACCCAGTAGAGGAAAGCCATTGAACATTACTACATTCTTATCATCACTGTACACTGTGGTCACCCCTATGCTTAATCCAATTATTTACAGCCTGAGGAATAAAGACCTGAAAAATGTTGTAAAAGTAATTATCATTTTTGAAGTTGCATCTCCATTAAAATTTTCAAAAGACTTAAAGTGACACAAAGGCTTTGTTTTTGGTTTTTTTTTAATAACAAACATGTCTATACTTACCTGCTCTGTGCAGTAGTTTTGCATAGAGCAGCCCCAATCCTCTTCTTTTTGGGTACCCTCCGGTGCTCCTGGCTGCTCTCCCTCAAGCAGTGCCCCATAGAACACATGGAGCTGTGGTTCGGCCCAGCCCCAGCTCCTCATTGACTCACTGCCTGTGATTGACAGCAACAGGAGCCAATAATCTCAGCCAATGAGGAGTCCCCAGACAGCAGAGGCTGTCAAGAACATTGCTGGATTGGAGGGGGCTCAGGTAAGTATTGGGGGGTGCTGGAGGGGCCACTGCACACAAATGTTTTTTACCTTCATTCATAGAATACATGGAGGTAAAAAACAGTGAGCCTGTAGAACCATTTTAACCAGGCATACAATCTATGATCTAATAACTAGGTCAATAATAACTTTTAATTCATAATGTTAAAGTGTATGTCAAGAGAAAACCTTTTTTTATAGAATGAGGAATTATTAGACCCTATGTAAAGTTTTTATTGGGGTTACCATTCTTAACATTCACAGTTCTATTTTTATTGGTGGCCATTGTCACTGAGAAGGAAAGTGAAGGAAAAAAACAAACTTTTTCCAGAACAAAAATTGAAGTGAAGTCTTCCCGTGCAGACACTTGTTTCAGGAACAACAGTCTAAGAGGGGAATTCCCCTTACTTCTTCCAAAAATAAGCCAACAGGGATTTTAAACGTTTCCTTCTTTTTCCGAGACGAGGAAGGATGAAAGGAACACAAGGGGCTAAACACACCACCAGGTTGGTGTATATACACAAAATATTCCAGTATGAAGTCTCTTGAGATGTGTGTCTAGGAATTGTTTGTGACACTTGTGACAGCTGACCCACGAGTAGAAGCAGTCTGTGTAAAGTACAGTATATGAATAGGAAATAGGGGGAGTTCCAACTTAAAAAACCCCCCAGCATTTTAGCTTGCACAGGATTGGATGATAGAAGTGAGCAGAGCTTCTGTTCCTTTACTAAGCTCTGGAGCAATTGCACTCTGCAAAGTGCACAGTCTATTTACTTTTAGTAAATCAACCTCTAAGTGTAACATTGAACCATTTCAATTTATTTATATTGTAAAGTGCAGAGCAAACTGTTGGCTCTATATAAATCCTGTATAATAATAATAACAATTTATTAAAATAACAATTGGCAACTCATGTAATGTAATAAAATGGACACTTGGGGGTTTATTTACTAAAGCTAGAGAGTCCAAAATCAGACTCCCTTCTGCATAGAAACCAATCAGCTTCTAACCTCAGCTTGTTCAATGAAGCTTTGGCAATGAAACCTGGAAGCTGATTGGTTTCTGTGCAGAAGGGAGTCTGATTTTGGACTCTCCAGCTTTAGTAAATAAACTCCTTGTTGTCTCACTGGACCTGGCTCTGACTTCTGTCAGGGAGCCTTGATGTATCCAGAACCAAGCTGGAATGCACAGACAGTGCGCGGCTGAAGTGACGTCACAAAAAGGATGATCCAGTAAAGAAAAGGCATAAATTCATATAAAGCAATCTTTTATTTTATGACATGTGTGTTGCCAATTGTTATTTTAATAAATGGAAATGGTTTAATATTACACTCTGCTGGTTTACTCAGGTTGCACAATTTTCCTTAAAAAAAAATAGTTTTGAAATATTCAGTATTTCTTCTAATTATGTTCTTAAGGATTGCATTTTTAGAAAAACAAAGAACATACACCAACAACTATATTTTTTTGGTTTAACAAGAATGTAGAAGGGTTAGAAGCCCAGTTGAGTTTTTATTCCTGTATGTACAGTGGGGCAAAAAAGTATTTAGTCAGCCACCAATTGTGCAAGTTCTCCCACTTAAAATGATGAGAGAGGCCTGTAATTGCCATCATAGGTAGACCTCAACTAGAGAGACAAAATGAGAAAACAAATCCTTTTTCCCTTCTCTTTCCAAGGCATGTTAAAACCACCTTTACTGTCCGGGCCAGTTTTCAGTTTTCAGCACTGTGATACATTGACTAAAACATTAGTAAAAATTCTGCAAAACTGTATCCAAAATATTACAGTGCTGAAAACTGAACACTTTCCTAGACAGTAAGGGTGGTTTTAACATGCCTTGGAAAGAGAAGGGAAAAAGGGGAGCTCTAACCAGGGGCGGACTGACAACTCATGGGGCCCCCGGGCAATAGGGGATCATGGGGCCATCCTTCTGCTGGTGGTGGAGGTATCAGATATTATGTGCT